ACTCTAGACTTGGCTTTGTTTCAAGGGCAGCTCTAGGGACAGTGTAACTATGAGGAAAATAAAAAAGGTCCCCCTCCTTGCCCAGTATTGCCCCCCTCTTGCTAGGTATAAAACACTACATAAATGGGAGCTGGCTTTCCATGCCACGTTAGAGTTAAACACGTGTCAATGTAAACAGGAGGAAGTTAGCCTATTGGGGGCAGATGTGGAAGTATGGGAAGCCAAGTACGGCAGCAGAAAACCCAGGTGCCTACCTACAAAAGAGGCGCCTCTAGGGGAAGGAGGGGACAGAAATTCTGCTGCGGGCCAGGCTTCTGTTTATCTCTGCTTGGCTCTGTTTTTGTGCACAAATAGCTGTGATGGGCCAAGGTCCCTTTTTACAGTCAAAGGGGACTTGTGGCCATGCAGTGGGAATGGAGAAAAAGGGACAACTCCCTAAGAAATGAATGAATTCAGTGCCAGATGCGATGAAGGACCAAGGACAGCTTGCCGGGGAGACGGAGCAGTGTTTCTCAGGTCTCCCCACCCTCAGCCCAGGAAGGAAGAAGACAGGGGGAGGGAGCAGGCTCTGGAAGGAGATGAGGAATTTGCTGTTGGACAGGTATTTGGAGTAAGGCACGACACCCGTCCTTGGGTCAGAACACAGGACCAGAGGGACAGTGACGAGCAAGGGGCCCCAGGTGTGTGGTTTGGAGGGCAGGGACTGGGAGTCAGCTCAGGAATGGAATGTACAAGAACAAGCCAGGTCTTGAGAGAGGGAGGCGGAAGTGTGAGGAAAAGAGGAGCTGGAGTCTTGCAGGGCTGTATGCGTGTGTTATGGGTTCTGAAAATCACAGAGCCTAGTTGGAATTCATTTTGGAGAAGTCTCATTTTTCCACTGTGACTCTTCTTTGGCCCCTGGAATTCATTCATTCACTGATAGGCTCAAGGAGCACCCTCAGAGGTAGGATGGCTACTTTCACTCCAGGTGGGATCCCTGAGGGATTTCACTCCTCATGGAGCCCCAGACCCAGGCAGCCAGCCCTGGTCCGAGTCGGGGTTCCTGTTCTGGCAGAGAGCCCAGCAATTTGTTCCCCTTGCCTTTTCCCCTTCTGATTGCAGTCTTGAGTAGCCTGAAGTCAGTTGCTGATGAGAACATCATTCTACTCTGCCTCGCGCCAGCCCGAGACATCTATCATCCCATGGAAGTGGCAGCCCTCTTGGTTTGGTGCAGACGGACGATGGCTGAGGCTTGGCTGTGCCTGACCCAGCCTGGGGCGTGCTGGTCACCACTCCACAAAACGAGCCATTCTAGAGTCCGAGAATCATTTGCTCCCAGCCTTTCCTTGCTTCCTCTGCCCCTTGCGACTTAAATGCAAATGTCACCCCTAGGATCCTATCACTGTGGGGTATTTTTTAAAGAAATAGCATATTGAAAAGGACATTTGTCTGTCCTTCTGTTTAAATTGCTTTCCACAGGTTAGGGAGACCTGGCCATTATTTTCTTCCAGAGAGCAGAGAGAGTCTTGTGAAGATGTTGGCTAATTGACTTTCGGAGAAGAGGCGCTTGAATTTATCAAGGACGTTCAAGTCTCTTTTCTCTTCCCATAACTTGAAAAAGGCTTTACATTTTGTTTCCAAATCTCTGCCAACGCCTGGTCTGTTTAAAACTGAATTCCCTGGAGACGATGGCAGAGAGGGTGTTGGATGTCACATTTTTGCAGCTTCAGTCTTTGATACAGTTGTTCCAGTCCCCAGAAAGTCTTTTCTGTTTACATAAGGGAGGTATTATTCACACAAAGATTACATTAAAAAATACACCCCCAGCATGCCTGTTACTAATAACATTGCATGTTATGAAAGTGGAAAGTATTTAAGATGAAATTAATTTTCACTCAGTGCGCCACTTTGTTTGACTTTCTTGTTCCATTCCGTGTGGGGCACGGGACTTGGCCAACCTCACTTTTCATTTTCAGCAAGTTCACTTTCTTATGCCTCTCTTTTGGATTGAAGCTGTTGGAAATGAGTTTTGAGCATGTCAGGAAAAGTCTAATTTGAGAGCCTACTATAGATTTCTTTTCTTTTGGCTTCCACAAGTTTGTTTTGAAAATGAAAACCCTCTTCTCTCCAGTCGATGAGTTTTAGTGTACAATTTTTTTTCTTTTTTAAACGAGTTATCTGTTAGCAGAATTTCTGGGGTTGGAGTAGTTAACATCTTTTTTGGCAGTCTGTCCGAAGATCGTGGGAAAACAGTTAACTGTTTCTCACATCGGACACCTCTCTGTTACGTGTTCTTGTCAGTTCTCAGCAGTGTGGTGTGGCTGGTCACTGTTTAGTGGAGGGGAGCCGGAGCATCCAAGACACCCTAGCCAGGCTGTGTCATCTTGCCTGGGCTGAGCTGCCTGTGAAAGTTCTGCTAAGAGCTTTCTTAGCAGATGACAGCTGAGGGTGGAGGGTGGAGGGACTGAGCAAAAAAGAAAAAGATCTCACGGACATGGACATCAGTGTGGTGATTTGGAGGGGGGAGTGGGAGTGTAAGGGAGCTAAATGGTAATGGAAAAAAGTACAATTAAAAAATAAGTTCTGTTACACTGAGCTGCATTGCTTTAGCAGAAGGAGACATTTAAACTGGTGGGACACAGATGTGAACACTTTGTAGGAAATGGTTCTTTATTTTTGATCAATCTCATGATCCTTGTTACCAACCTTGATTACATCAGCATATGTGCTGTTCCGTTTTATAGCATTTTAATGGGTTTTCATCCCCCTCCCCAATTCAGTTCCAGCTGTGTGACTATTATAATTTGATTACAGTTTGGTTTGCAACTGCTAGGACACTTTCTGAGCACATTATGCCTGCCTTTTGAGAGTGAAGCTATTCAGAGGTGAAAAAGAAGCAAAGGGCTTAAAAAAAAAATAACAAAAGGGGGGACTTGTCAATAAGTAATTTCCAAAAGATGCTCAGAATCTGCAATGATTGTATCCTTCCAGAATGAAAAATTTGCTGAAACTCTTACGTAGACTCTGACACATAGACTTTTAATAAAAATATAGAAAAATTCATTTAAAATTTGCTTGCTTTATTCCTCTAAACATTTTGGTTAAGAAATATATTATTTTTAACTTAGTGACTTCCCCTCCCTGATTTTGGCTTTTCAAATCTACATAGAACCAAAACAAAGGAACATTCATAATGTCGCTTCAAAATGAGCTACTTGATTCTCCCTTTGGCCCTGCAATCCTGGGGCTCTTCCCTTCCTGTCTTTTCCTCCTCCTCTCCACAAAGAGGCTCAAGTTTACCTGGCAGTGGTTATGTTATTATATTTGTATTTCTTTAGCCATTTATTAACCTGCCTGATTTTCATTGGTTAGGTATTTGATCTCATTGATGATTTTACATTAAAAAGTTTTACTCTTTATTAATTTGGTAGGCAAGATGCATATTATTGCAATCACTTTAAAAATTAAAGCTATATATTTATTTTTTAAGATTTTATTTCTTTTTAGAGAGAGGGGAAGGGGAGGGGAAAGGGGAGGGAGAGCAGCCTCAACATGAGGGAGAAACATCAACTGGTTTCCTCTTGCTTGTGCCCTGACCTGGACCTAACCTGCAACCCAGGCATGCATCCTGACTGGGAATCAAACCAGTGACCCTTCCCTTTTTAGGATGATGCCTAACGAAGTGAGCCACACTGCTCAGGCCTAAAAAAAAATTTAAATTACGGCTGACATTAATATTTTTTTATATTAGTTTCAAGTGTGTGCTTTACATTTGATCAGTTTTTATCAATATTATATTTTTGGCTTTTGAAAAGGATACTATCTTAAAATTAGTATCATCACATGTTCAAGGATACACAAATTCAGGAATATTCAATTTACTGTGCTAAATTATTAGATCACCACTCCTGAAAACCAGAAAGGTCTTTCTAGGTTTTGAATTGAATTATTTTGAGTTCAAAATTCAACTATTATTATTTTAAGTGCTGCTTTTATTTTCTATCAGAAAGTTATTTTTCTTAAAATGCGTAGTTTTAAAAGACTGGTGTATGCCCCTCTTCTCCTTCTTCCACCATAATGGCTCTCCTTTTATGGATGTTTTCTCTGCCCTTCTAGTCTTTTATTTGGAGTGTTTCTCTTCTATTGTAATGGAAATCAGTGCATCTCTGCGGGTGATTTGGGTTCATTCTAGACTGACTCTGCTGGCAAATACTGAGAACAGTTCTCTAACCGGCAATGTTAATAAGGGCGCTCTAGACTCCTGATGTCCCTTAGATCCCCTGTAGAAAGTTGTTTCAGAGCTACCTCTAGTGTGAAGTGGCACCTCCTGCTTCCTAGAACCGGGGCTATTACTGGTGATTTTTTTCATCTTAAAAAATAGCCAGCAAAGTCGGTTCGTTCGGAAGCCACAAAAGAATCGGCAACGCCTAACGGTGAATCGCGCACAAGTCCAAGAGAAACGCAGGAGAGGAACCTTTATGGACTTGGGTGGGGCTGTTGTTAAAGGAAGAGTCCATTGGCGGAAACTGAACATTCGAAGCCTTGTGACTTTTAATGGACTGAGTTGTGGCAGCCTCCCATTGGTTGAGCTGTCGCCGGCGAAGAAGGATCTTCCGGGCGGAGGTATTAAAGTCGTGTCACTTCCTGTGGCAGTAGAGCAGCCTCACTTCCTGCGTGAGCGAGTAGTGTCCGCTGAGGACTTGCTTGCGTGCGTTCTCACCTCTAGGCATCCGACTCCATTCTAAATGAGGTCTCTGTTTATTAATCCTCAGTTTATTCTTGGGGCCCTAGGTTCTTTGTCGAAGTGGTTTCTAAGTTCCTTGGTGGGTTTGGTACGGGGAATAGAACCTGGTGGAGTCCTGGCACCAGGGTGAATTCTGCCTGTCGGCTAGGTCCTTGGTGCTCGTTAGTTTTTATAAAACTGCAGATCTTCCCAGGGAGGTGGATGCATGGCATCGGTTTCCTCCGGCTGTGTGTCAGTCTTCCCTGACTTCATTGCTCCGCTCTCTATCTCCTGGCAGGCTCGGGGACCAGTTCTACAAGGAAGCCATTGAGCACTGCCGGAGTTACAACTCGCGGCTGTGTGCGGAGCGCAGTGTGCGGCTCCCCTTCTTGGACTCGCAGACTGGGGTGGCCCAGAACAACTGCTACATATGGATGGAGAAGAGGCACCGAGGCCCAGGTGAGTCAAGTCACCCCTTGGGACGTGCACACACTTGGGTGCCTGGTTTGGGTGGGGGGAGGACCAGAGCTGCTTTGGAAATTTCGACACAGCACAAGTCGGGGTGGGGAAAGCTGTTCAGCGGCCAGGGGTTCTTCCGAGAAACACAATTGCCTTATAGCTGTTGACTGGTGTGGGGCCTTGAAGCCACTTCGACAGGGGGCGAAGGATGTTTAGCCCCGAAGAGAGAAGACTGAGGGTAGTTATCTTCATGTTTTACTCTCGGGTGTTAGTGTAGCTTAGGCTTTGTCATCACACCCCACTCCCTCTGGTTCCTCATCTCTAAAATGGGGATAATAATAGTACCTACTTAAAGATTTTGTCAGGATTAAATATGGAAAGTCACTAAAAAAGCTCATGCGTTTGGCATGTAGTATATGTTCCAAAAATGCTGGCTATTGGTATTGCTGTTACTATGACACCAGTCTTATGGGCTCCAGAGAAAAGAATAAAGCCCAATGGATGGAGATTAGGGAAGCAGCTGTAGGAATGCAGTTTTCTGGCTCTATAAGGGCTTGTTTGTTTATTTTTAGAGAGAGAAGAAGAGAAGGAGAAAGAGGGAAACATCAATGTGTGGTTGCCTCTTGCGCGCCCCCTGCTGGGGATCTGGCCTGCAACCCTGGCATGTGCCCTGATGCAGTCGAATTGGTGGCCCCTTGGTTCGCAGGCCTGTGCTCAGTCTACTGAGCTGCACTTAGCCAGGGCTATATGGGAATATTTTAAAAACCTTTATTATAACTCATACAAAAGCAGAGGGAATAGTAAAATGAATCTCCATGTATTTATCACCCAGCTTCAACAATGACCAATTTATGGCAAATGTTGTTATATTTGCACTTTCCTCCTACTTCTATCCTTGATCTCAGGTTATTTTGAAGCAAATGAAATCTACTTTTTTTTTGGTCTGTAAATGTTTCAGTATATGTCTCTAAATGGTAAAGACTTTAAAAAATCACAACCACAATAGCTATTGAAGCTCCAAGTTAACAGTAAAACTTAAGTACCATCAAATATTTGATCAACATTTATTTCTTTTTTTAAAGATTTAAAAAAATTATTTCTAAAGTGGAGAAGGGAGGGAGGAATGGAGGGAGAGAGGGAAAAAAACATCAATGTGTGGTTGCCTCTTGCACGCCCCCTGCAGGAGACCTGGCTCACAACCCAGGCCTGTGCCCTACAGTGGGAGTTGAACCAGTGAGCCTTTGCTTTGAAGGCTGGCGCTCAGTCCACTGAGCCACACCAGCTAGGGCTGTTTCTTTTTTTAAAGATTGATTTTACTTATTTTTAGAGAGAGGGAAAGGGAGGGAGAAAGACAGAGAAACATTGGTGTATGAGAGATACATCGATCAGTTGCCTCGCACGCCCCCAACTGGGGACCTGGCTCACAACCCAGGCGTGTTCCCTGACTGGGAATCAAGCCAGCGACCTTTCAGTTCACAAGCTGGCTCTCAATCCACAGAGCCCCACCAGCCAGGGTAACATTTATTTTCCCCTGTAGTTTAAATCAGGATCCAAATAGGATCCCTTCATTGCAACTGGCTGATATGTCTCTTAAGTCTCTTTAAATCTGTAGATCGCTTACCCTCCACACCCCACACTACTTGTGGGAGAAACTTTGTTGTGTGCACTGTAGAGTTTCCCAGAGTACGGATTTTCTGATTGCATCGCCATGGTATTATTTCTGTGAATTGGTAAGTTAGATCCATAGACTTCCTCAGATTTAGGTTCAATTGGTTAGGCAAAAAATTCCTAAGTATTTTCATCAGGAGGCTTCTGCAGCCTAGTGAACACTTTTTTTCCTATGTTAGCAGCCCTTGGTGATAATTGCCTAGATCCTTTATTCCACTAAGGGTCACAAAAAGGTGACATTTGAGACTCTCATTATTTCTTCATTTATTAGCGCTACAACTTCTTTTATGTATATAGATTTATAGAGAGAGAGGAAGGGAAGAAGAAAGAGAGGGAGGGAAACATCAATGTGTGGTTGCCTCTCATGCACCCTCTACTGGGGACCTGGCCTGCAACCCTGGCATGTGCCCTGCCTGGGAATTGAAGCGGCAATCATTTGGTTCTCAAGCCAGTGCTCAATTCACTGAGCCACACCACCCAGGGCAGCTCTACAACTTGTATAAAGAGAAACATCATTAAAATTTTGATTATTTTGAGGTACTGTTCATATATGAAAGGCAGGATAAATAATTTCCCCCATTTATTTACCAGTTTTTAAAATAATGAGTTGGTTCCCTAGTATTCTCCAAAGGTGATCAATAGGATATTTTTTGTTTTTTGGGGATATTATTGTGAATTCACAGGTTTAAACATAGTGGAATCATTTTTAAGCGATTAGCTATTGTTCCAATTGATACTCAACCAGGAGGGGTTAAGGAGGGGTTTGACCAGGAGGGGTTTTGGCCAGTGCTGGTATTTTGAAACAACTTCAATAGTTTCTGATAGCTTTTTTGTTATCCTAACAAATGTTTCAGGCCCATCTTAAGCACTTACTGCCCCAGACCTCCCATCAGCTATTTCTCTAAGGAACCCTATTTCCTTTTTGTAGGAATTGTTATTAAGGGGTGATAAGCTGGTGGTGCTTGTTGATCCTGGGTTGCTCATTGCTTCCAGAGCTTCACAGTGAACAGAACTAAGAAATATAATTTTTTATTTTTTAAAGAGAAAATACAATATGAAATACTGATAGTTTTCACTTAATTCAGTTTTACACAGTTGTGCCTTAACTCTTAATTTTGTATTTCCTTTCTCCCATGCTAAAAAAAAATCCTGGCTCTTAATGATGCTAACATAATTACTTGTTTTATTCCATAATATACACACAACAGTATCAGAACAAAATGGAACTACCAATAATTACTGAAAATGGTTTAAGATTTCTCTTTCTTTTTGTCCTTAGGGTATTTCCTATTAATGTAGAGTTGTCCAGGCTTTGGCTTAGTAGATTGAGTGCCTGCCTGTGAACCAAAGGGTTGCTGGTTCCATTCCCAGTCGGGGCACATGCCTGGCTTGTGGGCAGGCCAGGTCCCCAGTTGGGGGTGTGTGAGAGGCCACCAATTGATGTATTTCTCACACGTGGATATTTCTCTTCCTCTCTTTCTCCCTCCCTTCCCTTCTCTCTAAAAATAAATAAATCTTTAGGAAAAAAATAAAGTAGATTTAAGTTACTGTGTTTTAAGGTCACTTGAAAGAGTTCCTGTGTTGTTCTATAAACATGTTTAATGTGCTTGGGTTTATTTGTTTTATTTGCTTTCACTTATTAAGTATTGCTTTTTTTTGTAATTTTATATATTTTCTTTTTAAAGATATTATTTATTCATTTTTAGAGAGGTGAAGTGGAGGAAAAAGAGAGGAGAGAAACATCAATGTGTGGTTGCTAATTGCATGCCCCGTATGGGGAACCTGGCCTGCTACCCAAGCATGTGCCCTTACTGGTAATCGAATGGGTGACACTTTGGTTTGCAGGCTGGCACTCAACTCACTGAGCCACACCAGTTGCGGCTAATTTCTTTGTATTTTTAATTAACTTTTATTTTGAAATAAAGAAACAAGAGAAGTTGCAGACATAGTAGAGAGAGCTCCTGTATTCTTCACTCAATCTCCCCCAATGCATACATTTTATAGAACTACAGTACAATAGCAAAACCAGGAAATTGACATTGGGAAAATGTATGCCTAGTTCTATGCCTTTTTATCACATGAATAGATTTGTGGAACCAGCACCATGATTAAGATAGGAAACAATTCATTACCATAAAGATCTCCCTCACACTGCCCCTTTATAATCACACCTCTCTCTCCCTCTCAGCATTAAAATCTATTTACCCTCTCCCATTTATACTATAGTGTCTTAAATAATTTACATACACTGAAAACCGCATCAGACAATATTAATTTTTGCTTTAACTATAAAACAATTAAACTTGCCAAAGCATCTCTGATATTTACTTAAATTTTAACCCTTCCTGATGTTCCAAGGTACCTTTTTTTATTACAATTCACCTGATTAAGTGCTTTGTTAATCATTCTTTTATATTTTTAAAGGTTTTATTTATTTTTAGAGAGGGGAAGGGAGGCAGAAAGAGGGAGAGAACCATCAATGTGTGGTTGCCTCTTGCGCGCCCCCTGCTGGAGACCTGGCCCGCAACCCAGGCATGTGCCCTGGCTGGGAATTGGACTTGCGATCCCTGGGTTCACAGGCCAGTGCTCAATCCACTGAGCCACACCAACCAGGGCTGTTAGCCATTCTTTTAAAGTAGATGTACTAGTTACAGCCTCTCTCAGTTTTCCTTCATCTGAGAATGTCTCGATTTTTTTTCTTTATTCCTGAAGGAGGTTTTTGTTGGTTATAAAATTCTGTGTTGACGGTCCTTTTATTTTAGCACTTGAAAAACGTTCTGTTACTTCCTTTAGGCCGCCATGGGTTATAATGAGACATCTGCTGTCTGTCATTCACATTGTTTCCCCTTTTCAGTGAGGTGTCATTTCTGTTGTGGCTTTTGAGACTTCTTTCCTTTGTCTATCAAATTTCAAGAATTTGATTTTGATGTATCTTGGTGTGGATTTCATGGTTTTTTCTTTTGGAATTCATTCAGCTTCTTGAGTCTGTTGGTTACTATTAGTGTTTTGCCAGATTTGGGAAAATTTGAGCCATTATTTCTTAGAGTACATTTTTAGCCCCACTGTCTTTCCCCTCTCCTGGGACACCACAGATACAAATGTTAGCTCTTTTCTTATAGTCTTGTAAGTCCCCCAGGCACTTCATTTATATCTTTTCAGCTTCTTCTCTCTCTGTTGCTCAGAATGGGTGATTTCTAGTAATCTCTCTTCAAGCTCACTACTACTTCTATCCTCTGCATTCTTCTGTGGAGCCCTTCCTTCGAGTGTGTGTATGCGTGCACGTGCTCTTCAGTTCTAAAATTTCCATTTGGTTCTTTGTATCTTCTATTTCT